GCAATCAACACCTGGGCAATCCCAGTCATTAGGTACACAGCTGGAATAGTGGACTGGACTCAAGCAGAACTAAAAGCAATGGATAGGCAGACCAGAAAAATAATGACAATGAATCATGACCTTCATCCACGCAGTGACATTGATAGACTTTATTTACCAAGGCAAATAGGTGGGCGTGGAATGCTACAAGTACATCAGATGGTTGAAGAAGAAAAAATGGCTTTGAAAGAATATCTGAAGAACAATGATGAAGATGCACTGAAAATAGTATATCAGGAAGGCTTACTAACTACTGGAGAGACCAAACTGGCCTACAAGAAAGACCAAATGAAGAACAGAATAGAGGCATGGGAAGACAAAGCACTACATGGCCAATACATGAAAAAAATAGCTGGGAAAGCAGATAATAATAAAACATGTCAATGGCTAAGAGCAGGAAAATTGAAGAAAGAGACCGAGGGACTAATTCTGGCTGCACAAGACCAAGCCTTAAGGACAAATGCATACAAAGTCAAAATTGAGAAGACAGCAACAGACAGTAAGTGCCGCCTATGCAAAGAAGCTGAAGAAACAGTGGAACACTTGGTAAGCTGTTGCAAGAAGATTGCACAGACTGATTACAAGCAGCGGCATGACAAAGTAGCAGCAATGGTGCATTGGAAGATCTGCAAAAAATATCATTTGCCTGTAAGCAAAAACTGGTGGATCATAAAATAGAGAAAGTCATAGAAAATGATAAAATTAAACTGCTCTGGGACTTCAGAATTCAAACAGACAAGCACCTGCAACATAACACCCCAGACTTAAAAATTGTCGATAAGAAAGACAAAAAAGTCTGGATAGTGGACGTGGCAGTTCCTGGAGATAGCAGAATAGAAGAGAAAGAACTGGAGAAGATAACAAAATACAAAGACCTACAAATAGAAATAGAAAGACTGTGGCAAAAGCAAGCAAGGGTAGTACCAATAGTAATAGGCGCCTTGGGTGCAATCCGAAAACAACTGGAGCACCACTTGAACACCATTGGCATTGACAAATTCGCTAATAGTCAATTGCAAAAGGCAGCCTTATTAGGAACTGCTTCCATCCTGCCACGATATCTGTAATACCATCAAACATCCACATCTGCCTATCCCAGGTCCTGGGTAAGGACTCGATAGGTAGACAAAATGCCAAATCCAGTCTGAACATCTGGCTGACTGTGCGATGATCAATAATAATAATAATTGACAAATTCGCTATTAGTCAATTGCAAAAGGCGGCCTTACTAGGAACTGCTTCCATTCTGCGACAATATCTGTAATACCATCAAACATCCACATCTGCCTATCCCAGGTCCTGGGTAAGGACTCGATAGGTAGACAAAATGCCAAATCCAGTCTGAACATCTGGCTGACTATGCGATGATCGATAATAATAATAATAATAATAATTATTATTATTAATGATTCAAACTGCAGTGATTGTTGCATTGGCTGATGTGCTGCATTTGTTTTAAGATCTCAGAGAGTCAAAGATTAAGAAATTCAGCAGGAAACAAACCTCATAAGGTTTCCCTTAAATTTTAAAGGAAGTGATACATGTGTTAATATATAGTATTTGGGAGTGGAGCTCAAGCATTCTTTTTTATATATAAATATTTTATTAATTTTCTGGTTTTACAGTCAAATATTTTATAAGCAACCTGTTGTCTGGGTCCATTACTAATTCAGCAATATTCATTACCTTCTTTAGTCTAAATCCAATATTACACCATCGAAACGTTTCCTCTCTTCTTCCAGCAATACCTATTTTCCCATGATGGGAAAAATACAATTCTTATTGTTATCAGCTAAATATAATCTTTGTTACATTTATCAAAAGTGTCAGTTTTAAGTAACTTTTCTAACCAGTACATATCTTAATTGCTTTTGCACTTAACATCCATATAGTCAATCAATGTCCTGTTTTTGCTTTTTTTTAATTTTAATTTCCCATCAGTATTCGAAATGTCTCTATTGTTAGTAATTTCAGAGTAAGTTATATTTAGGTGACCAAAAGTTTACCTTATTCAAACTTCATAGCGTTTTCCTGTTTCTCTTCTCATACCAAGATCTAATATTCTAATTACAAAGCTTATATTTCTCAATCTTCCAAATCTATCAATTCTTCTTCCTTTTCCTCAAATATATTCTGAATTCTTGATTTGTAAGAAGCCTTTCCATTTTCAATTTTATCACTCCATCTTCTAATTCTTCAGTTGTCTTGATCTGTCGGTCAATTCCTTCCTTTAAGTCCTCCATTTTGGGATGTGGTTGCTCTAGTTTTTCTTCTATTATCTCCGTTGTTAATTCCTTCTTTCTAATCATGTCCTGAGTTTGTAGATTGAGATTAGAAATTTGTTCTTTTATCTTCTTTGTGTTATTTCTAGTTTCATCCAATGTATTTCATCCAATGATTCAAACTGCAGTGATTGTTGCATTGGCTGATATGTTGCAATTCTTTTAAGATCCCAGAGAGCCAAAGATTAAGAAATTCAGCAGGAAACAAACGCCATAAGGTGTGCCTTAAATTTTAAAGAAAGTGATGTGTATTTGGGAGTATTTGGGAGTGGAGCTCAAGCATTCTTGAGCTCTATTTCAGGGAATTATCACCTGAAGGAAGGTTAAGGAATGGATTCACAGCTGGTGAGATGGTATTTCTTTACTTCTTTAATCATTTAAGAAGTGGCAGATTTGATTCTTTATGAAGTACTGAAGGGATCTAATCGTAAGCTTGTGAAATCAATATTTTACACTAGATTCATTCACGTAAGAGTGTAGGGAAAGTTGCATCTTTTTCTGCTTGCTGAAGAATACTTCTAAATACTATTTGTTTTATGATCAATGAGATTAATAGTGACTTGATTTATTAGCTCACGACTCCTTGAGAAATCATAAAGCTGAGATCTTCTTTAAGATATTTTATTATTATTTTTTTAAAGAGTTCAATAATAATTACTCTTTCTTTCTTTATTTATTTATTTATTTATTTATTTATTTATTTATTTATTTATTTATTTCCCCTTCCTTCCTTCCTTCCTTCCTTCCTTCCTTCCTTCCTTCCTTCCTTCCTTCCTCCTTCTTTCCTTCTAGTCAGATTTTGAATACCAACCTTTGGCAACATCTAAGGATACAGTCATTAAAATCCAGTGAAATTTAGTTCAATTCCAGATGTTTAATTTTTTTAAAAAAAACATTGCTCTTGATTTTCTTTTGTGAGTCTGGGGCCATTCCCTCTACAATGTCATCAACATCTGGGACATCCACCCATGCACCAAGGGATTTCAATTTTCTGTTTGTCTCTCTGTATTCAATCTTATTTTATGTTTCTTTCCATCTGAATAGCCGCCTCTCTTAGACAGATAGGTAAAAATATTTCTACAAGAGTAACAAGATCAGGACAGAATGTTTCTTTTTTTAATGAACCCATACAGGTAGGTCTCGATTAATAAATATATCAATTAATAAAGCCCATGAAATGGTTGCATTATTCAAGTTTGTACTGTTCAAAGTGATATTTCTGTGAAAAATATGATAACTGGTTCCAGCTTGAAAAAAATAGGCAATTATAAATTTTGAAAAATATTTTTATACTTTTATTAAGTTTTATTTTAAGAATTTTGGATCATATTATATTGTTTGGTGGTTTTATATCCTGTAAATATGGAAGCAAAATTGTTACTGTTGTATACATTTTGATTATGTCTGGCCTTACGGCTGTAATAAACAGATTGATACTTTTATTAATGAATTACTGTACAACCATAACAGAATGAACCCATATTCAGAGTGTACCTGTTATGTCATATATTCTGCTTAGTTCTTCAAAATATCTCTTCTTTTTTTGTACCTTCTTTGAGCAGACTCTTTTTTTTCCATTTTGCACAAATGATGATTAACATCTAAAACCCCAATAGCAACTACACATGTGTGCCAGCCTCAACTGTGCATGTGCTAGCCTCACATTAATTGAATTTTGGCTTATATTAAACATGCCTGGTATCAATTTATAATTCACTCTAAATAGAATACAGCGCCATTCAAACTCCCAGTAATTGTGACCTCCCTGTATCACTAATTTTTTTTACTTCTGTTTATTCCAGCAAGGATGTTCTCCTTTACTGTAGCAATGCACTGTGTGAGGACATCTGCCCTCCCTCCCTCTCCACCTGTTCAAGCAAGCTACATCCAGAGATGCAGAGAAACTTTACTATTTGCCAAAGTCTTCTTCAAATCAAGGTTAATTGCCAATAGTTCCAGAGACTATTCCATGTACCAATAAAGGAGAATATCTGTAGCTCAGAGTTGAAATGAGGGCTCCTTGGTGCTCTCTGAGCTTGCTTGTTTTCTTGCAGATGTTTCATTACCCAAATTAGGTAACATCAGCCCTGATGATGTTATTGTCAGGGCCCACTTCAAAACCTCATCCTAAGAAAGCAGAACTCATGGAAGCAGTTTCCTCCAAAAGGAACTTTTATTAAGAGAAGCTGACAGCCAGCGTAATAGACAGGATCTGAGGGTTTCCCTCTCAGATCAATAGATTAAAAGTGTCCCAAGCAAACCCCACCCCAAAGTTCATCCGTTCGGTTAAAATGGGCCAATCCCCAGATGTTGCTCATTGTGGGAAAGAGCAGATAACACCAGGCTGTCTCAGTGTTGCAGCGATGTTTTGTCAGCTCATCACACCTTCCCTTCTGAACACGGAGATAAACTAGTTGTCGGAGGCACATTCCTTTCTTCTGCCCCCTCTTTCTAGCTGACATCAAGGGGAGAAATAGTTCACAGAGGAAGTATGCAGAAACAGCAAAGTGTTACAGTGTGGCAATAAAGGAAAACAGAGCAATAACCCACAGTGCTTCCCCCCTCCCCTCCAGGACCATGGCAGAACCCAGAAGTTTCAAAAACAAATCCGAATTTATCAAAGAAACAGTTACTGAGCTATTGAATTTTAAATTATCTGCTTTTATATTTGGAAGAAAATGTCTTTACTGATCTAATTTTATTACATCAAGATACAAAAGATAAAGAATAAAAAAAACCACATAACACTGTGCCCCAAGATTACCAGTGCAGTTTCACTGGTCATCTCCAAAGGCAGTATCATATTTCTCCTATCCTGATGTTGCTGTACTCTTATGCAACATATAAAGAAGAGAACCTGTCCAAAGAGAAAAAATAATGGATTAGCCACAGAGCAGAAGAAGTAGATTTCTTTAAAAAAAAAAACCAAGAATCTATGCAGTTTTGAACTCAACCTCATCTCTTTATTCATCTTCTTATGACCAAGCTCTAATCCTCAAAAGTCAATGTTCCAGAATAGATCTATTGGTCTTAATTGCATACAATCTTAATTGCATGCAATCTTTATGTCAGGTATATCAGGTAACAGAACTTCAAATATTTTTGGTCCCAAGCAAGCAAGCAAGCAAGCTGTAATACAGGATATGTGGATGTTTGGATGTTTAGATGTTGCTGATTCCTCTCCTGCCAGGGAAATGCACTTAGTTTCCAACCCAAAATGAAACAAATTTCACTGTTGTCAAAATATACAGAATGCATAAAGATGTATCTTTAAAAAAATCTCACCAGAGTATCCCAAAAAGATCCTTACCAGTTAGAAGGTACAATGGAAAAGAGGCCCAGCCCAAGCCAAAAGACCATCCATATCGGTTGGTGGAACCAATCTTTCCTGAGAAAATGGACATGGCAATCAGGATGCAGAAGCCTGGAAATCAAGGAAGAGGTAGAGGTAGAAACATTTCCTTCAGAAGTATGGAAGACACCAATGGGCTTTTCTGCTCTTATTACAAAGAAAGTGGCAACCTCTTGGGGTGCTTATTGCATTGAGATAGTACAAGTAGTTCATATTTGCGCCAAACTCAGAAACTGGCATAGAGAAGAGTGCGTTAATTTGTTTTTCCTTGAAGACATTTTGCTTCTCATCCAAGGAAAGAACTTTGTGTAACTTCCTGCATGAGAAGAGAAAAATCTTCAAGGAAAAACAAAGCCCAGTTGTCTTTTGAAAAGCATCTTTGGGTTAATTTGCCGATTTTGTTTTCTCGGTTTCACATTTTCCCATATATAGATAGTAATAGCACTTAGACTTATATACCTCTTCAAAGTGCTTTACAGCCCTCTCTAAGTGGTTTACAGAGTCAGCATTTTGCCCCAACAATCTGGGTCCTCATTTTACCGACTTCGGAAGGATGGAAGGCTGGCTCAACCTTGAGCCAGTGAGAATCGAACTGACGAACTGCTGGCAGCCGGCAGTCAGCAGAAGTAGCTGCAGTACTGCACTGCACCACCAGGACTCTCTTCTAACACTGAACTGCCTCATTTCCTGAAACAAAGGCTCTTCTCACAGTCACTCATGCTTTAGCCGTCTCTTCTCTGGGATAGTGTATACAGGGCCACACTTGAAGACAGCCTTGAAAGATGGACTGGGAACTAAAGTTAATCCATAAAGTGGCTTCGGTATGTCCACCTGACACCACCACTTCAAGAGCTGCAATGGTTGCCAGCTGGTTTCTGAGTGGAACTCAAGGTGCTGGTTTCCATCTATAAAGCCTTTCCTTAGTTGGTCCCTGGCTCTTTATGGGACTGTCTTTGTCCCATTGTCCCTGTCCATCCTGCAAAGTCTGACAAGGCAAGTGTGGTTCATCTCCTGTCAACTAAACAATGCCATCTTGGGAGATACTGGAGCCATGCCTTTTCTGCCCTTGGAAATGCCCACTAGGGCTGTAAAACACGTAAAACGTTATATAAGTCTTAAGAGCTGTTGCTATTTGAAACATCCTTAGGAAACATGAACTAAAATGAATTTCAAAAGCAGGCAGAATGTAGAATTAGGAATGACAGTATGGGTGGGGTTTTCTTTGAAATAACTTGATAAAGAGGAAGTATCAAATAGCAATTTCCTTACATGCAATAAAGTTGGCAATAGATGCAATCCAGCTCTTGAAGGTATTGCCAAGTCTGCATTACTAAAATGACAGCATGGGTGGGGTTGGTTTTTTTTAATAATTTGATAAAGAGGAAGTTTCAAATAGCATTAGCACTTGTACTTACATACTGCTTCACAGTGCTTTACAGCCCTCTCTAAGTAGTTTACAGAATCAGCATTTTGTTCCCAACAATCTGGGTCCTCATTTTACTGGCCTCAGAAGGATGGAAGGCTGAGTCAACCTTCATCCAGTGAGAACTGAACTGCTGGCAGTTGGCAGAATTGGCCTGCAATACTGCATTCTAACCACTGTGTCACCATAGTTCCTATAATAGTATAGTACTATACTATACTATACTATACTATACTATACTATACTATACTATACTATACTATACTATACACACACACACACACACACACACACACCATACTATAAATAGTTGTGATAGTGCTGAATTAAGTCACACAAAAAACACATCTGGGAAAAGATTATTGCAAAGATGCTTACCTGCCATAAAGCTGCCAATATATGCAATCCAGCCCATGGGGATACTGGTATTGCCAAGACTGCAGTTTTTATTCAGAGTGCAAAGCCCAACGAGAGAGGCAGCTCCAGCAATCATCCCCAGAAACATAAAGGTTCGGGTGGCATGTAAATAGGCTGTCAGGAGCCAATAAAGACACAAGGTTAGAATTCAAGATGGAGGTTCTTGTGCATTTCACAGGCTAGTGATGCATTTGGAATACTGAATCTTACCTGGCACAAATTCCACACCTAGTGAATGACATGTTCCGTGTTCACAAAATTTCCATAAACCAAGATTGTTGCTGGAATCCACTATCCAATAGTCTGAACTCAAAGCAGCGAGCAGGCACAGAAGACTGATGAAGCAAAAGAACATAGCACCAAAATGCAGGGCATTCATTGTACCGAATGTCTCTGGTCTGTCACTGGCCAAGAGGTCTGGGATGGAACTGGAGGACAACATTAAGTTTATGTTATTGATGTTCATTACTTTGATCATTTATAGTTACGCATCTTAATTACTTTGTATGCTAAGAATTTGGGGGTGATTTTAGTGCCATGATAAACTCCCTGGGAAAACTGAGAGTCTTTGACCCCGGAATAGACTTTCAAATTGATATCTGACTAGAGAGCATTACCAGAAAGAAGAATCCGTGTTCCATGATTAAATGTGTCTTCCACAAAACGTTTCTCTTTATGCTGTCAAAAACTATAGAGGTGGCACACAATTTTTTGCCAATGGGTGAGTATTTCACAATATATCATAGAATAAAACAATTGTCTCTCAGGGAGCATCCCAGTCTGAACTGACTTTGTCTTTCCACCAAGAGATGTTTCCACCCACATTCAGTCCTATATTTTCCTCAAATGAAGCTTTGCATACATTTTTGCAAATCAGAAAGGGACTCCACCAGGTTAATTCCAAGCAACAACAGCAGGAGTGCCTTCAAATGGTTTCTTGAGAGATGAGATTCAGATCTGATGAAACCAGATCTATTACCGGTATGGTGCTTTTACCTACTATCACTAATAATTTATTCAGGTCATTTGGTCATTTGATTTGGCAAGATTTGGCAAGGAAATTTAAAGTTGCTGAGAGTTATCACCAAAGATTCTCCAATGAGATTGATAGGTGGAACCTTGTCATCAGAACAATATTGTAACATGTCTTTGGCATTATCTAGATTCCCACTGCTACGCTTATGCATTAAAATGGCAGTGCCAGAACGAAATAAACAATGAAATGACTTCCAACCTGCATATTGAAAAGATCTCTGTCTTTGAAGGGGGGGTACAGAAATGTGAAAATAAATAAATAAACAAATAAAAAGGAACTCGGGAAAGGCTTCCCTTTGAAGAACACAGCAGGGATATTCTAGAGTGCTAGAATGTGAGAATGTCCCATGCCCCCTGGATGGGAGCCCGTCAGCTTTCTGCATCAGCCTATTGTTCTGCCGTTCACAGCATAACAGATGGATTAGGAACAGAAGAGTTGACGTTCTAGATCCCCATTTTGTTCTATTTAGTTTGCTACTTTGGATATGCAAAGCAATGTGGTTAATCCAAAGGAAACATCCACATCTTTCTTCCCTGTCACCCAGTATTTCCTGGTAGTTGGGATCAACCTTGCCTACATGACTGGGTCCTTGCAGATCATAGGAATAGTGAGACTTGATTGTGAATAAGCTGGAAGTGACTTACTTTAAGTCTCCCAAATTTTTCAGTGTTACAACTTTAGATTATTTCTAATTTAGTTTTATAGTCTGACTATTTTTCTCCCCCTAGATGTAGACCACCACCATTCTTCTAGGGGGGATGGGCACCAAAGAACCCCCCCCATCCACCCACCCTCTTGCTTTGATTTTGGACTATTTTTCCCCCAGGGAAACATTTTTTTTTTAAAGTAGAGCAGGAAAAAAAAATACTTTCACCCAGTTCAAACACATTGCTTAATTTTTTTAAAAGTTTTATTTATTTAAATTTATTTAAATTTAAATAATTATACAACAAAAACGTGTTGTCTGAGTATCTTATTCACTAATACAGATTAAATTCCTAATCTCTAAATGTTTTCTCTAGCCATTGATAAAATAGATCCCAAGTTTGAAAATATTCTGTTTCTTCTTTTTCTTTCAACCTTAAAGTAAGTCTGTCCATTTCCTCACAGTCTAATATTATTTTGATTATTTCTTCTTCTGGTGGTATTTCTTCATTCTTTCAATATTGTGCAAATATAATTCTTGCCACTGTTATCACATGTAGAATCAAATATGTACTTTGCTTATCAAGTTTTTCTGGCATTATACCTAATTTTAAAAAATCAGGCTTATAGTCTATGTGTTTCTCTAACATTTTTTCTAACCAAGTGTGGATTATTGTCCAATATCTCCTTGCTTTAACTCATGTCCACCACATACGATAATAATACCTGGTTTGTTTTTACATTTCCAACATTTCTCTGACATGTTTTTAAACATTTTTGCTAATCTTGTTGGTGGCAAATGCCATCTATAAAACATATTATATAAGTTTTCTTTGTATGAAGCTGACATTGTCAATTTATAGTTTCTTTCCCATAAACTTTGCCATTTTTCAAAATCTATATTATATCCAAAATTCTTTGCCCATACTATCATTGTCTCTTTTACTTGTTCATATTCCATTTTGAAGTTTAATAAGAAATTGTACATTTTTAATTAATTTTTGATCAGAAGTTAATAATGTCTGATCAAACATAGTCTGTTCTTTGTAAAATCCATACTGTTTAATATCTTTATCATATCTGACTTGCATTTGTAAATGTGACCACTGTGTTAAATCAATGCCCTGATTTTCCATCTCTTGCCTGGATTTTAAATTCCCTTCAGAATTTAGAATATCTTTGTATGTCCATATTTTATTGAGACTGATTAGACTTGGATGTACGAATGCTTCCAATGTTGAAAGCCATCTTGGAATTTTCAAATAAATTTTACATTTTATTTTTTCCCACGTTAATAAGAATATATTTCTAATGTAGTGGTTTTGGAAGTATTTATGTATATTTTTTTCCGTACCATAGAAAGGCATGCCAATCATGCTGCAGGTCATGTCCCTCCAGATAGAATAATCTTTTATTTCTAAGAGTTATCCATTCTTTTATCCATGTTAACTCTGATGCTTGATAATATAAAACCCAATCTGGCAAGCCAAAACCTCCATTTTCCTTGGCTTCTTGTAACTGTTTCAGTTAGCTGCTGTTTGATATATCCTCTTTATCAAGTTATTTCAAAGAAAACCCCACCCATACTGACATTCCTAATTCTATATTCTATGAAGAAAACAAGAAAGAAGATACGTCGCTCTAAAACTTTTGAGATACAAAAGCATATTTTGAGATACCAAAGCATATTTTAGAGGATTAGCCATAACTTACAAGGTGAAAAAGAACAAGGAAAAAAAACCAAGAACAAATGAAGCTAAAGGAAGAATTGTCAAAATTAGAACTACAAAGAGACCCACATAAGAAGACGCTTAAAAAAGAAATGGAGATAATAAAACACAAATTATATTTAATAGAAGAAATGGCCCAATAAATTAAAAGAGCAAAACAAACTTCTTTGAAAATGCTAATAAGCCGGGTAGATGGTTAACCTACAAACTGAAAAAAGAGAGAAAAAACAGATAAATAAATAGCAAGATGTGATAGGCGATCTACAATACCAAAATGATACGATATAAAAAAAATTAAAGAATTTTATGAGATACCTTATGATAAAAAAGAAATTACTCAGGAAAAAATAAGACAATATATAGAAAATGCTAACCTACCAAAGGTTCCAGAGAACTTTAAAAATATGTTAAATGAGGAAATAACAACGATGGAGCTGACAGAAGCTATAAAAAGACAAAAAACCAATGAGACATCAGGCCCAGATGGGCTACCCACAGAATTTTACAAAAGCCTACAAGATATACTAAGCCCATCAATGTAAGAAGTATGTAATGAAGTATCAGTAGAGGCCAAACTACCAAATACATGGATAGAAGCCAATATCACTTTAATATCAAAAGAAGACCCAGACTTGACTCAGGTAAAGAATTATAGACCAATATCGTTACTAAATGTGGACTACAAAATTTTTGCCTCAAAAATAGCAGAAAGACTGAAGAAATTATTGATTGAATTCATACCTCCAGACCAAAATGGATATTTACCAAAGAGAGAAATAAAGAACAACCTAAGAATGATTTTAGATCATCTTTTTAGATGCACAGAAATCTTTTGATAGTGTCAACTGGCAATTTATGGTACAACAATTAAACTATATGAAAACCTTATAAATATAATTAAAACAATTTATTATAGGCAAACGGCTAAATTAATAGCGAATGGAGATTTTACAGAGAATTTTAATATTAAAAAAGGCAGAGGATGAGGATGTCCACTATCTTCACTGTTATTTATTTTAACTCTGGAAGTGTTGAATAGAAATGTTAGAAGGACCCAGAAATTAAAGGTATGTAGATAAAAGATGAAAAATATAAATTACAAGCATTCGCGGATGATTTGGTATTTACTCTAGAAGATCCCTTGGAGAAAAGCCCTAAATTATTGACAAAGATTGAAGAATTTGGACAAGCAGGGTTGAAAATAAACAGAGTTAAAACTAAAGTGATAGTTAAAAATCTTACAGATAAACAAAAAAAATCAACTGTCAGAATAAACAGATCTTCAAATAATCCAGAAAGTTAAATACCTGGGGATACACTTAACAGCAAGGTGTGTGACATTAAAAGAAGATAATTATTAAAACAAATAAAATTAGATTTGGAAAGATGGAAAAATTTACAATTATTAATCTTGGGAAGAATAGCAATGGTGAAAATGACTATTTTACCAAAACTATTTTTCCTATTTCAAACAATAAAATTAGAGATATTTTTTTTTATGAGCTAAATGTATTAATTTTGAAATTTATCTGGCAAGGCAAAAAAGCCAGAATAAGACTGAAATTGCTACAAGAAGCAAAAGAAAACGGAGGATTTGGCTAGAAAAGCGGAATAGAGGGTAGAAATGGAAGTTGCATTACCACTAATGTTAAGTATGTGAACCCACAGAACACGTTGTTTATTAAGCACTAAAGATTTGTAACCATAAAAACTCAATAAAATATCTATAAAAAAAGAATAAAATTTGCCAACTCTTAAATGGTTAAAGAGATAAAGTAATACTACCTCACAGTTTATCATTTGTTTCTTGGTCTTCTTGCAGGTGATAACGCTCAAGAATGCTTGGGCTCCACTCCCAGTTAGACATAAGTATCACTTCTTTTATCCCCATAGTCTCCCCACCCATATAAGATTCGTTTCCTGTTCACTTTTTGTGTGGTTCCAATTTTAATATATGTGCTGCTGAAGGAAACATTTGACTTCCTTAACCCTTCGCTTTCTGAGACTTTCAAATGATTTCAGCATATCAGCAATGCAACAGCCACAGCAGTTTGAACCATTAACCATTTTAAATCATTTGAACCATAACACTAAGAATCTAGAAATACATTTTATTTATTTGTTAAGTTTATACGGGTAGACCTTAACCTATGACCGCAACTGAAAGCAGAATGTCTGTTCCTAAGCAAGGTGGCTGCTGAGTGAGTTATGCCCAATTTTACAACCCTTTTGCCACAGTTGTAATGTGAATCATACAGTTGCTAAGTGAATCCAGATCCCCCCATGGACTTCCCTTGTTGGAAGTCAATTGGGAGGATCGCAAATGGTGATCACGTGAATCTGGGATGCTGCAATCATCACCAGTTCGTGCCAGTTGCCAAGCATCCAAATTTTTACCCCCTGTTTGGCTACTGTGACAATGGTAAGGGCAAGGATCAGTCATAAGTCACTTTTTTCAGTGCCACTGTAACTTTCAACAGTCGTTCAATGAATGGCTGTAAGTTGAGGACTGCATGCATGCCTTTCATTCACTCAAAAAAACTCATTAAGAAGTCAATTCAATTCATTCTGAATCATTTTGTGTAGCTTTATGTTCTTAGTTAGGTTTTCTTTTTTAGATTGTCTTGTATCTAGGAGTGGATGCTTGTATTTCTCTGTCTTCTTTTCTTTTTCACCTCTAGCTATTACTGAAAAAGTGGTGACATCACAGCTAGAAAATAAAGCCAAGCTGGAGAGAAATTCCTCCTTTCCTAGACATGGACATACTAGATATCTTCTGATTGACCAAGGCCCAAACATCCCACTGAGTCGCTAATTCTGCTCTCTGCAAGCAAAGGCCAGGTGGTGACGTGCTTCCTTCCTAGAGCTGAGAGAAACTGAATGGCCCAAGATCGCCCAGCTGGCTTTTTGCTTAAGGTCAGACTAGAACTCACAGATCTCCTGGTTTCTAGTCTGATGGCTTAAGCACTACATCAAACTGGCTCTCCCGCCTTACATTTTATTGTAAATCATGAGCGGCATTTAGCTGGTCCTACATATTTTGCTCTGTGATCAAACAAAATTTTCTTTCGATCCATTTCCTTCTCCCTATTTATTAAGGTGACCAACTTTTTTACAATAAAAAGGAGGACACAAATAAATTGAAGAAAAAAAATACCGTAAATAAAAGAAACATTTTATTCATTGCAACAATAATACAGACAACTTGCATGTGCAAAGTTTGCCAGCCAGGTGTTTTGGGGCGCTCAGCAGCAATTCCTATTGGCTTTCGAAAGCCAATAGTGGGAGTAGCACAGCTCATGCAAAAGTTGAAAAAAAAACCATCAAAAAAAGGTGCAGGAACGCCGTTCTGAGTATTCTATGAGGGGGAAAAAAGCCCTGCAGATTAGTCTTCAAATATCAAAAAGGAGGACATGAAGGAGGACACTTTTTGAGGGAGGACAGAACTTACAAAAGGAGGACTGTCCTCTCTAAAGAAGGACGGTTGGTCAACTTATATTTATCTAAATATTGGCTATTGGATATATTTTATATTTAACAGCCTTCATTAATGATTATTGCAGTTTTAGCTGAGTTTATTATCAGAGGCTTAAATTCTGCGTTGGACTCACTAAGTTACAAATAGGTCCCTACCGGAACTCACTACAAATCAACAATTACTTAGTCCCCACTAATTTCAGTGGTGCTGAGGGGCAGCTAACTTAGTTGGCATCCAACTCCAACCAAGTTTCCCTTCTCCACTGAAATTCTCATGAAACACAGCAAATACTTTTGCCTTTTTTATTGAAGAATATATTTTGCACATGTTTTGAGATAAAAAAGTTCAGCCATTAGTGCAAGAACAATAGTAGAAAGTACTGTAGTTCAAATTGCATAAATTCTGTTGAATGGAACTATCGATTTTCTCCTCAAATATTTTCAGACCAAAGACTCAGTTGAAGAGCAGGTGAAAGAAGTCTTTGTTTATACAGACCTGAAATGCCATAGCCGGAGTGTGTATGCCAAGAGTTATATAATTCTTTAGATTTCCTTATCCAAGTTCTAAAGTAGAAAAACTCTGATTTCTAGGAAATCAAATATTAAAGTTGTGATATGGAACGGGGAAATCTGAGATGCGGGAAAGGTGATCTGGGGGTTTTATCCAGAGAATTCCCATTCTCCAACCTTGATCACCACTAGAGGAATTAAGGAAGGAAGGCATGCCAGGGAAATTCCATCCCATTTCTTTTGGCAGAAAGAAAATTAATTTTCCTTTTTCTTTTCCCTTTGGCAGAATGAAAATCAACTTTCCTGAAACAGTCATAAAGATTTGGTCATGATTGTCCCAAAGATGCTTTTTCAAAACTGGACTTTGTTTCTCCTTGAAGGCATTTCACTTCTCATCCAAAAGGTGACTGTGACTGAATGGTGGATTTATATTCCTTGCAGTCATCTGGTTGTTAGTACTCTTTCTGAAAGTCGTTGAGGCCACTTAGGGGTTTATCTGTGCTCTCTGGGTCACCTGAATAGTGCAAATGGGTGTGGACCCTCAGAGCACAGATCAATCAAAAAGCACCTTTGGTTTCCTGGAACAGGAAAGAAGGGAAAAGAGTAGAATTCCTGCTTCCTGGGATCTGCTTGCAGAAGTCTCCCAAAATTCTTAACATTTGCGAATCTGAATGGCCTTCAGAAAGAAACAATCTGAATATTTTAGAGAAAAATGGGACGGGGAGGGGCTGGAAATGTACAGCTGTTTTTCTAAAGTTAAACTAATTCTTCTGCCTTCATCCTTCATCTTATAAATTTGGTGCAGGGCAAATAATTCTGATTGGACATTCTCTGTGCCCCCAGATTACCAGTGCAGTTTCACTGGTCATCTCCAAAGGCAGCACCATATTTCTTCTATGCTGATGTTGCTGTACTCTTATGCAATCTATAAAGAAGAGAACCTGTCCAAAGAGAAAAAAATAACAGATTAGCCACACAGCAAATGAAGTAGAATTTTTTTTAAAAAAAACCCAAGAATCTATGGAGCTTTGAACTCAACCTCATCTCTTTATTCATCTCCTTATAACCAAGCTCTAATCCTCAAAAGTCAATGATCCGGAATAGATCTATCACTCTTAATTACATACAATCTTAACTACGTGCAGTCTTTATGTCAGGTATATCAGGTAGCCAAACTTCAAATATTTTTGATCCCAAGCAAGCAAGCAAGTTGTAATACAGGATATGTGGATGTTTGGATGTTTAGATGTTGCTGATTCCTCCCCTGCCAGGGAAATATGCCTAGTTTCCAACCCAAAATGAAACAAATTTCACTGCTATCAAAATATACAGAATGCATAAAGATGTACCTTAAAAAAAATCTCACCAGAGTATCCAAAAAAGATCCTTACCGGTTAGAATGTACAATGGAAAAGAGGCCCAGCCTAAGCCGAAAGACCATCCATATTGGTTGGTGGAACCAAATGTTCCTGAGAAAATGGACATGGCAATCATGACGCAGAAGCCTGGAAATCAAGGAAGAGGTAGAGATAGAAACATTTCCTTCAGAAGTATGGAAGACACCAATGGGCTTTTCTGCTCTCATTACAAAGAAGGCGGCAACCTCTTGGGGTGCTTATTGCATTGAGATAGTCCAAGCATTTCATATTTGCTCCAAACTCAGAAACTGGCATAGAGAAGAGTGCGTTTATCTGCCAAATGTCTGTGGAAGTTCTCAGTCATCCAGGTCATGGTTGTCTCAAAAGTGATTTTTTCAAAAGCCAACTAGACTTTCTTTGTTTTTCCTTGAAGATGTTTCTCTTCTCATGTAAGAAGCTTTATGTATCTTCTTGCATGAGAAGAGAAACATCTTCAAGGAAAAACAAAGCCCAGTTGCCTTTTGAAAGTGTTGTGTGCTGGGCCTGATGAGGCAACTCAGCAGGCCCAGAAATGTTGCAAACGGTCCCGGGCAACCTAAAAGCTGCCCGGGACCAGACTGGCTGGTGCCAGAGTGATGCGCATGCGCAAGGCGCAAAGAAAAGGGTTTCCCTATTGGCTGGACTGCCTGGGGGTTGGAAGACTATAAAAGGCCTGCATGACTGTATGCAGAGTTGAGTGAAGTTAAGGAGCAAATAAAGAAGTTAGTTTACAACATGTATCATGCTTCAATGCCTCGAACCGCGAAACATTAAAAAAAGCATCTTTGGGTTACTTTGCCAATTGTTTTTTCTCGGTTTCACATTTTTTCATTTATACATAGCAATAGCACTTAGACTTATATACCGCTTCACAGGGCTTTACAGCCCTCTCTAAGCAGTTTACAGAGTCAGCATTTTGCCCCCAACAATCTGGGTCCTCATCTTTGGAAGGATGGAAGACTGGCTCAACCTTGAGCCGTTGAGAATCAACTGACAAACTTCTGGCAGATGGCGGTTGGCAGAAGTAGCTGCAGTACTGCACTGCACCACCAGGGCTCTCTTCCAACACTGAACTGCCTGCTTTCCTGAAACAAAAGGCTCTTCTCACAGTCACTCATGCTTTAGCCGTCTCTTGTCTGGGATAGTGTATACAGGGCCATACTTGAAGACACCCTTGAAAGATGCACTGGGAACTAAAGTTAGTCCATAAAGTGGCTTTGGTATGTCCACCTGACACCACCACTTCAATAGCTGCAATGGTTGCCAGTTGGTTTCTGAGTGGAACTCAAGGTGCTGGTTTCCATCTATAAAGCCTTTCCTTATTTGGTCCCTGGCTCTTTATGGGACTGTCTTTGTCCCATTGTCCCTGTCCATCCTGCAAAGTCTGACAAGGCAGGTATGGTTCATCTCCCATCAACTAAACAATGCTGTCTTGGGAGATACTGGAGCCATGCCTTTTCTGCCCTTGGATATGCCCACTAGGCCTGAGGTTCATTGGCTGCAGTCATGCTGTTTATTTAAAAAAAACTGGTTTCAAAGCAGTCCAGAGGATGGGGTAATCCTGTCTGATTGATGACAGAAAGTTGGGGTTTTTTTTATAAATCACTTGAGAAAGAGAAAGAGTTCTTTTAAAACTGCTTAGAGAGGGCTGTAAAACACTGTGAAGCGGTATATTAGTCTTAAGTACTGTTGCTATTTGAAACTTCCTCAGGAAACTTGAACCAAAATGAATTTCAAAAGCAGGCAGAATGTAGAATTAGGAATGACAGTATGGGTGGGGTTTTCTTTGAAATAACTTGATAAAGAGGAAGTATCAAATAGCAATTTCCTTACCTGCAATAAAGTTGGCAATAGATGTAAAGTGGGAAAGAAATAGAATAACATAGAATAAAGAAGAATAAAGTAGAATAATAATAATAATAATGGAAAATCACTAAAAGCAAAAATCATGTGTCTGCATAATTTCTGAAAGAAAGCTGTGTTAGCCAAAAGCTGTATTAACAGTACGTGAATGACCTAATGCATATTTAGAAACATTGTATAAAAGTAAAAACTGCCTTCATTGTATTCCCATGAGAAATGGACCTAACGTGTGAGAAACTATCTGAATGTTACACAAAGTAGACTCCATATACAATGTAAGATTCCATCTATGCTTTATAGAAACCTATAAAGCTTTAGTTTAGACCCGCCCCCTTGTTCAGAAATTTGCTGATTGTTAAATCACTTCTGAACCTTTTGTGCAAAAATAAACCTCTCTTTCACCCTTGAAATTCGTAAAAGTCCTTTATTTTTTTAAGGCTTTTATTTTTCCACAAGAGAGGCAATCCAGCTCTTGAAGTTATTGCCAAGTCTGTGTTGCTAAAATGACAGTATGGGTGGGGTTGTTGTTGTTGTTTTAAATAATTTCATAAAGAGGAAGATTCAAATAGCATTAGCACTTATACTTACATACTGCTTCACAGTGCTTTACAGCCCTCTCTAAGCAGTTTACAGAATCAGCATTTTGCCCCTAACAATCTGGGTCCTCATTTTACTGACCTCAGAAGGATGGAAGGCTGAGTCAACCTTCAGCCGGTCACGCAAAAAAACATATCTGAGGAAAGACTCTTACCTGCTTACCTGCAATAAAGCTGCCATTATATGCGATCCAGCCTGTGGAGATACTGGTATTGCCAAAACTGCATTTTTCATTCAGCATGCAAAGCCCAACGAGAGAGACAGCTCCAGAGATCATCCCCAGAAACATAAAGGTTCGGGTGGCATGTAAATAGGCTGTCAGGAGCCAATGAAGACACAAGGTAAGAATTCAAGATGTTCTTGTGCATTTCACAGGCTAGTGATGCATTTGGAATACTGAATCTTACCTGACACTGATTTCACACCTAGTAAGTAACATGTTCCGTGATCACAATATTTCCATAGACCAAGCTGTTTGTTGGAATCCACTATCCAATAGTCTGAACCCAAAGCAGCGAGTAGGAACAGAAGGCTGATGAAGGAAAAGAACGTAGCAGCAAAATGCAGGGCATTCATTGTACCAAATGTCTCTGGTCTGTCACTGGCCAAGAGGTCTGGGATGGAACTGGAGGACAAAATTAAGTCTATGTTATTGATGTTCATTACTTTGATCATTTATAGTTACGCATCTTAATTAGGGTGTGAAGGGTGTCTCTGCCCCAGATGCATGTCTTTAGCCAGAACTGAACCTATTAGATCTTCTTGGCTGTAGGTTCCTAACAAATAATTTGTCCATTAGGAAGTTTCTTAAGATAAAACACGTGTTAATATAATCAGTGAGAAGTCCCTGGATGGGGGTGGCAATTGCCTTCCTTGAAATCTGGGCCAGCTCTGAGTTCAGAAAGCGTTGTCTTGCTTGGATGTCCACCTTGGACCATTTGCATCTTACTGTTCTTCCTTTCTTCAAAGTTAGCTAGTAACTTTGGCATGTAACTCTTAGCCCCACATCACCTCATATCGTTTTTGGATTTCAAAGAGTTGTTAACAGAAACTCTGGCTGTCAGATTCAGTAGCTCATTTTCTTTTGCACCCTTCCTTTTATATTCAATTTTAGCACATTTAGCACATTTTCCATTCAAAACCCCAGCATGCTTTCATTTAAACTGATGAGCGACCGAATTTATCAGAAAGGAGTGAACATTTGAAGAAGCCGAACATCTTAAAGAAGATCTCAGCTTTATGATTTCTCAAGGAGTCTTGAGCTAATAAAATCAAGTCACTATTAATCTCATTGATCATAAAACAAATAGTATTTAGAAGTATTCTTCAGCAAGCAGAAAAAGATGCAACTTTCCCCACACTCTTTTTTTTATTATTAAAAGTTTTACAAATTACAATATAAACCCACCCATCCCCTCCCTCCCTCCCTCCCCCACTTCCCAGAGCTGATTACAGGGTAACAAATAAACAAACATACTCTAGCTAACATAAACCAACTAAACTATCAATCAAAACCATAATACACTTTAACTCCTTCTCAAAACAAATATTAACAAATTAAGACAAAAATAATAATACCATTAATACTATTAATAATTATCTAAAATCTATTCAAAAACAAGATAATACTTTAGCAAGCAGAAAAAGATGCAACTTTCCCCACACTCTTACGTGAATGAGTCTAGTGTAAAATATTGATTTCATAAGCTTACGACTAGATCCCTTCAGTACTTCATAAAGAATAAATTCTGCCAATGCTTAAATGATGAAAGAAGTAAAGAAATACTATCTCACCAGCTGTGAATCCGTTCCTTAACCTTCCTTCAGGTGATAATTCCCTGAAATAGAGCTCAAGAATGCTTGAGCTCCACTCCCAAATACTCCCAAATACACATTACTTCCTTTAAAATTTAAGGCACACCTTATGGGATTTGCTTCCTGCTGAATTTCTTAATCTTTGGCTCTCTGGGATCTTAAAAGAATTGCAACACATCAGCCAATGCAACAATCACTGCAGTTTGAATCATTAAATTTAGCATCTAGAAATACATTGGATGAAACTAGAAATAACACAAAGGAGATAAAAGAACAATTTTCTAATCTAAATCTACAAACTCAGAACATGATTAGAAAGAAGGAATTAACAACACAGATAATAGAAGAAAAACTAGAGCAACCAGATCCCAAGATGGAGGACTTAAAAGAATGAATTGATCGACAGATCAAGACAACTGAAGAATTAGAAGATGGAGTGATAATATTGAAAATGGAAAAGGCCTCTTACAAATCAAGAATTCAGAATATATTTGAGGAAAAGGAAGAAGAATTGATATATTTGGAAGATAGAGCTGTTAGGACGATTGTGGGAAATGGGAGAAGGCAAATAGGTGGGCATGGAATGCTACAAGTCCATCAGATGGTTGAAGAAGAAAAAATGGCTTTGGAAGAATATCTGAAGAACAATGATGAAGATGCACTGAAATTAGTATATCAGGAAGGCTTACTGACTACTGGAGAGACCAAACTGGCCTACAAGAAAGACCAAATGAAGAACAGAATAGAGGCATGGGAAGACAAAGCACTACATGGCCAATACATTAAAAAAATAGCTGGGAAAGCAGATAATAACAAGACCTGGCAATGGCTAAGAGCAGGAAAATTGAAGAAAGAGACCGAGGGACTAATTCTGGCTGCACAAGACCAAGCCTTAAGGACAAATGCATACAAAGTCAAAATTGAGAAGACAGCAACAGACAGTAAGTGCCGCCTATGCAAAGAAGCTGAAGAAACAGTGGACCACCTGGTAAGCTGTTGCAAGAAGATTGCACAGACTGACTACAAGCAGCGGCATGACAAAGTAGCAACAATGATGCATTGGAAGATCTGCAAAAAATATCATTTGCCTGTAAGCAAAAACTGGTGGGATCATAAAATAGAGAAAGTCATAGAAAATGATAAAATTAAACTGCTCTGGGACTTCAGAATTCAAACAGACAAGCACCTGCAACATAACACCCCAGACTTAACAATTGTCGATAAGAAAGACAAAAAAGTCTGGATAGTAGACGTGGCAGTGCCTGGAGACAGCAGAATAGATGACAAAGAACTGGAGAAGATAACAAAATGCAAAGACCTACAAATAGAAATAGAAAGACTGTGGCAAAAGCAAGCAAGGGTAGTACCAATAGTCATAGGCTCCTTGGGTGCAATCCCAAAACAACTGGAGCACCACTTGAACACCATTGGCATTGACAAATTCGCTATTAGTCAATTGCAAAAGGCGGCCTTATTAGGAACTGCTTCCATCCTGCGACGATATCTGTAATACCATCAAACATCCACATCTGCCTATCCCAGGTCCTGGGTAAGGACTCGATAGGTAGACAAAATGCCAAATCCAGTCTGAACATCTAGCTGACTGTGCGATGATCAATAATAATAAAGTTGGAAGGGACCTTGGAGGTCATCAAGTCCAACCCCCTGCTCTGGCAGGAAACCCTACACCAGTGGTTCTCAACCTTTCTAATGCCGCGACCCCCAACTGGTCATAAGTCAAGGACTACTCAACCGGTCGTAAGTCGAGGACTACTCAACTGGTGCAGCACCGTTTGCAGAATGGGACTTTTGGCGGGCTCAGCAGGGCAGAGACAGCCTGGACAATTCCTATTGGCTTTTGAAAGCCAATAGAATTAGACTCTATTCAAGAGAGTCTATTCTATTGGCTTTCAAAAGCCAATAGAATAAAAGGGAGTAGCACAGCTAAGGAAAAGGGGAAAAAAATGGCGGACTGCATTGTTTGGCGACCCCCGTGAAATGGTCATTGGACCCCAAATTGGGTCCCGACCCACAGGTTGAGAACCACTGCCCTACACCATTTTGGACAAATGGCTGTCCAGTCTTTTCTTAAAAACTTCCAGCGTTGGAGCATTCACCGCTTCTGGAGGCAGGTTGTTCCACTGGTGAATTGTTCTAACTGTCAGGAAGTTTCTCCTTTGTTCTAGGTTGCTTCTCTCCTTGATTAGTTTTCATCCGTTGCTTCTTATCCTGCCCTCAGACGCTTTGGAGAATAGCTTGACTCCCTCTTCTTTCTTATCCCAAACAATATACACAAAAACAGAGGAAAAATTACTTGATGATTCAAAGGCCCTGACTGGGAAAGTTAGCTGGCAAAAGAAGAAAGCTAGAGTAAGACTGAAGAAAATAAAGGTTCTGATCCACTAGATGGGATACTACATTATTAATTAGATGGTTGAACATGGTGGAGAATAGGTAATTGTAAGAAATTGAAGTATTACTATAACTAGAAATATAAGATTTGTAATTAGAATATTAGACCTTGGTATGAGAAGGGAATCAGGAAAACACTATGAAGTTTAAATAAGGGAAACTTTTGGTTAACTAAATATAATTTACTCTGAAATTACAAACAATATAGACATTTTGAATACTGATGGGAAATTAAAATTTTAAAAAAGCAAAAACAGGACATTGATTGACTATATGGATGTTAAGTGCAAATGCAATTAAGATATGTACTGGTTAGAAAAGTTATTTAAAACTGACACTATTGATAAATGTAACAAAGATGTTTATATTTAGCTGATAATAACAAGAATTGTATTTACATAGCATGGAAAAATAGGTATTACTGGAAGAAGAGAGGAAACATTTTGATGGTGTAATATTGGATTTAGACTAAAGATGTTAATATTGCTGAATTAGTAATGCATCCAGACAAAAGGTTGCTTATAAAATATTTGACTGTAAAACCAGAAAATTAATAAAATATTTATATAAAAAAAGAATGCTTGAGCTCCACTCCTAAATACTATATAACAATGATGGCGAACCTTTTAGAGACCGAGTGCCCAAACTGCAACCCAAAACCTATTTATTTATCACCGGGTGCCAGGTGGGTGTGGCCCATTGGGTGGGTGTGGCTGTGGTGGTCATGGCAGACTGGGTGGGTGTGGCCAAGGTGGGCATGGTCACCTCAATGTTGCTCATGAGGAGGGATGCCTGTGGGGGCCGGGCAGGATTGGGGGAGATACAGGGGGTCTCTGGCTGGTGGGGCAGTGGGCAGGAGGCTCATCCTGTGGGGTGAGGCGAGGCAAGGCGAGGCAGGGCTGGGGTGCCATTGTCACAGGGCAAGGAGAGGCAAGGGCCGGGGCGGCTGCTGCCTGACACCATTGGCCCCCGCACACAGAGGCCAGTGAGCGCATGGGGGTCGACAGTGTCTGTCAGCAGCCACAGCCTGCTGGCCCCTCGACCGGCGCACTCTGGGGCTCCACAGCCCGCCACCAGCAGTTCAGAGAAGCTGCCTCTGAGCTGGACAGATGGCCGACAGCTGAGGAGGTGATGCAGTGGGTCGTGCCCGGGAAAAGGAGAGCATGTGAGGCCAGTAGGGATGGGATGAGGGGGGAGGGAAACCAGCCATGCTGGGATGCATCCAGCCACGTGGGACCTTGGTGAGTTACCAGGCAGCTGGTTGAAGAGGGATGGTTGCCATCTCTGGGAACTCCCAGTAATGCAATCACCGCTTTACTTATCGTAAACTGACTGGACATTGACCACCTCAGAAATTGGGTTGCAATGAATAATAAGCTCGAGAAAACAAAATCGCTTATTATAATCTTGAATTTCTTTGGAACAAAAGGCATTGGTGAAGCATTTTGTTTGAAGGTTGGTGATGTCCTGATTCAGGTCTCTTAAAAGTCTCCAGTCAATCTGAACCTAGAAACAACTTAATTAAATTTCACGGTAAGCCTTAGAATCTGATCCCTCCCTTATTATTAGAACTGTTCAATTCAACAGTAAAGAGATCCATTGCTTTTCAGTCTGATGTTTTAACCAAGCATAACCAAAGGGAAACACACTGTGTCATTGAACTCAGCATTTGTTAGAAAGAAGTGGGGCAGGTGGGGGGGGGAGAGAGAGACTTTTCTCAATCCACATGCTCATTCAGCAACTTTATTCCTGACAGAATACAGAGGAGGGGAACAGAAGATGAAATATGCAATAACCAGTAGCCCACTTTTGTAGAAGGCACAGAAGTTACCATTCAGATACTAGTGATACTTAACTAAAGATAGAGGGGAAAACATGTCACTGAAGTAGCCCCCTTCTCCAGATACCCAGATTGCGTTTGTTCTTACACAACTTTAACTACAGAGGAGTGGGATGGATTGAGTTGGCTCTCAACCTCCCCCCCCACACACACACATACACGCCAACCTCCCCTACACACACACACATACACACACGTCAGCCCTTCTGTGTGTCTCTATATTTAAAATCTTGTAGCGATGAATCCATTTTATGTACTGGATGAAGTGAGCGTTACTTGCAAAAAGATATGCCTAATACATTGGGCAAGTTTTGAAAGTACACTTCATATTTCTTAACTAATGTGGCCTTTATTTGTGAAACTCAGCTAGGAAGTTTCTCTGATGATGAGAAATGAGAGCTGAGCCAAAGTTTCATCTTCCCAGTTTATTGTGGCAAACCTGGCTAGTCTATTTCCCCCCCCCCCGCCCCCTTTAATCTTACAAGGTCAGATCAGCCCTAGAAAGGGGCCCTAGATCACCAATACTGCTTGAGGGTCAGAGTGCCTGGGGTCAGGTGGGGGGGGAGTGAAATCACGCCTATCTAATACTAGAAAATGTCCATATTTAATCTCAAGAGAATGAGGAAGGGTCTCAAAAAATCTCCAGAATGGCTGTTTGGGTCTAGCTCCTCTGCCAATAACTATTAAAAGTCAAGATAATATGTAGTAAAAAGATTTAATTATCGAATGATCCGGATCTTTATCCACAGAGTCTGATAACACAGTAGCTCGAAAATCTTTTAATCAAGAGAGAAATCAGAAGCGTGCTTGTACCGCCAATGCAAAACGAAAGTTAAACCACTTTT